ATTAAAAAAGTCAAAATGACTTATAATTTGGAAAATGAGGGAGTAGAATATTTTGTTTCTTCTTCAAGTAATTTTTGCATCTAAAACATTATCGAAATCTTATTCGCTAACCAATACGTCTTCAACTCCTAGTTTCCAACGATGATTACCAAGTAACAAATGGGGAGTCTGTGATGATAGAGCAGTTGCCTCATCACTACCATTGATGACTAGGCAACAACGAGAGTCTGCAACAAGAGATCAGTTGCCTCAGTTCCACATGTTGCAAATAAGATATATATGGTTAGACATAATTTAATTAGAGATAAAAATATACTCTAGAAATAGAGATATAGAATACGATAAGAACTAGCATAACGTGAAACCAACCACTTCTCCGTCCTCATGTGACTCGCGTGCCCTAAGCAGCGCCACCGCCGCTCCCGCCTTCCATCACCGTTGGTCCCCCTCCCTTCACCTCCGGCATCTCGCCGGAGGCCAGAGGGAGTGGGGATCCATCATTTTTAATAAGTTTTCTAGTAGATCGAGTCATTAGGGTTATGGTCTCTCCATGCCAAATTTTTTGGTATTGGGGATTTATCTTCTCCTCTCCAGCTACGGCGAAGGAGAAGAGTGGAATCATTTTCTCCATGGTAGCTATGTTGAGGATGAGGACGACAACTACGGCGTCAGCAACTTCACCGGCATGGCAACATGGAGACCTTTCTTTCCGGACGACGACATCAAGGCAGAGATGATGTCGCCGCTATGGAATAATTTTCTCTAGTTTTTCTTTATTTTGTCGTGGTTAGATCTGGCCACGATGAAAGACTTGGGAGAATAATTTTTAGATCAGTCTTCCGCATTCTTCAGTGGCAGAAAGAAGAAGGAAAACAAAAAAAGAAGAAGTTTCTCAAGTCCGCTTGCAAGAATGTTGGTCGTCGTTCGTTGGGCATCTGTTCTTAGTCCTTTTGCCGAGTGTTTGTCTGTGCGGTCATCCATACAAAGCGTCATACAAGTTTGGTTTTAAGATTTCGAGCTATACACAGCGTTGGTATAATTTAGATAAAAATCAGTTTCTGAATATATGTAGTGTATTCCAGAATGCTTGTAACATGTTGATGTACCCAACTATTATATAATATAATTCTTCTTTCATTGAAAAAACTAGCATAACTTGTTTAAGCGGTAGTTGGCCTTTAGATAAAAAAAAGCTGGCTTTTGACGTTAGCTTTTTATACTATTATATTATTTTTTTTAAAAATCTTTAGCTTCTCAGCATATAAAAATCACAAAAGCTCATCTCACTGTGTCTTTCAACTTTTAGTTTATTTTGTCGTAAGCCAGTTTTCTAACTTTTCAAAAGCCAACTCAATTCATGCTTGGCGTGCCTCTCCCTCTCCCCTTTGGATTGACTTGTCTCCCTCTCGTCTTTGGATTGAGCCGAGCCGAGACGTCAACGCCACCATGTTTCGATCATGTTGCACCGGCAGGGTGCAGGTAGGGATGAAAATGAACGAAAAATTTTCCATCCCATTTCGTTCTATTTTTTACTTCTGTCGTGCCTGTTTGCATATTTATAGAAAAATACGGGAACGAGTCCGGAAACAGGAGAGAGGGTTCTCGTTCATTTTTGCGGGATGCCATTTTCATGTGGGATGAGCCCATATTTAACCGTTTTCAATCTATGCAAGATATATATATCTAACAAGTACATGTCTTTGTGATATGTTAATACGCACAAGTATGCATGTTAACATGTAAAACACATGGCATATGCGTGCATACCGGATCAATTTTCATATGTGTATATTGTTGGGAGTTTATACATGCATGCTTGAAAATAAGATCATATAATACTAGCTTAATTTTTGGGTTCTCCGTCCATATTAGTTTGCTTTGTATGACCGCATATCCCAATTTCGATCCCGCTTTTTCTGAATCCAATCCCCTTTTCACCTAAAAATATAGAAATAGAAAAGGAAGTGTTTTCATCTTTAGGGCGTGTTTGGCAGGATTTTAGAATGGAGTAGGAAGTAATACCCCAAACAAATCTACACTTTTAAATTTTTTAGATTTTTGAATTAATTAATTAACTTAGGAAAGTGGAAAAATACAGCGTGGCTAGAACCCGGACGTCCGGACAGACGGACGCCCGTGCAGCCCGCCCCAGCCCGCCATCGCCCCACCCTCGTCTGGATTCGCCCCGCACGCCACGCGCACACTCTGCCCCCGTATCTCTGCTCCCGCCGGTCATTCCCTAGACCCGCTCCTCTCTCTCCGTGTGGGCGGCACTCGAGAGCCGGAACCTGGCGTGCCTTCGACCGGAGCACCCGTCTGCCGCCTCAGCCCCCTCGCCCCGTCACGCCCAAGCCAAGCGTCGCCTGGCCCCATCTGCCTAGCTAGCTAAGCCCCGGCTAAACAACATAAAACACTGGCAATATGAAAAAATAATTGAATATAACATACGTTTGAAAACAGATGAAGCACTTGGAATATACACTTGCAACATGTGTGTGGAACACATGAAACATCTAAAAAATAACACCTGCAACTTGCAACATGAAACCACTTGTGCAACATAAGACTGAAACAACTGAAATATTTTGGAACATACTATTGCAACATATGTGTGAAACATATGCAACATCTAGATCAAAAATGATTGCAACATATGTCTGGAAATAGATAAAACATTTTGAACAAACGCTTGCAACATGCATCTGAAACACTTGCGACATATGCAACATCCTCCGATCCACTTTTCCAACATAAAAATGAAACAATTGCAACATACATCTGAAACGTCCGAAATAATTGAAATTTGCAATATGCAACATAGGGGAGATGAAGGCTGGGGCTGGTCGATTCTAGCCGCCAGGGTCAGAGTCGGCAGCGAGCGGCGGCGCGCAAGCACCACCGCCACTAGCAGCGGGCTTGGCTTGGCCGGGCGGGTCCACTAGCACTAGCGGTGCGCGCGCACCACCACCACCAGCACCGATCTTGGCTTGGCCGGGCAGGCGGCGTGCGCGACGGGCAGATCGAGCACCACCAGCACCAGCGCACCAGCGCGCGCGACGGTATGGGGCGAGCGAGCGACGCCGGGTAGGGGGGCGTGGCAGCAACGAGGCAGAGTGGCATCCGCATTAGGGACAGGACAGACGGAGTGGCAGCCGCAAGGCGAGGTGGTGGAGAGGAGGAAGCAGAAGGGATAAAAAGTTTTTTTTTTTTTTTTTTAACAGTTGTGGTGAGTGCAAGTGGATGAGTGGTCGTTGGGCTATATCGTGGCCCATCATCGGCACCGTCCGGGCGGACGGACACCCTATGCCCAGCATTATCGAAAAAATATTCTCGAACCCTTTCATCATGGGAACTGGGGAGACACGAGTGGGCGTGCGATGAGCTGATGACCCCCTGCCTTGTTGGTGCGCGCCGAGGTCACATCATGCTTCCTTTTGGCTACTTCTTATATTTTAACGGGTTTGTCATGTACAATGTGATGCTAACATATATGTTTTTTTGTCTCAAAAGTATATGGGCAACCTAAAAGGTGTGACCATAGGAGTAATCAATTTACTGTTGTGCTCGATTAAAGGTCCAAAACCCACCACGTCCCTGCCAACTTCCTACGTGGCCGTGCCAGTTAAAGTTGTAAAAAAAAACCTCTCTCTATCTCTCTTCCCTTTTAGCCCCCTCTCTACGTGGGTCCAACCGTGAGGCAGATACGGGATTGACAAGGACAGAGGAGAGAGTGGAGGGGGAGGTAGATGATTTTTTTATAAATTTCACCTGGCCTCATCCAGATGACATAACCACGTAGGTATATAGAGGTGATGTGATGGGATTTAGAGTTTTGGACCTCTACTTGACGCGACATTTAGTTGAAAGACCTAAATAGTCATCCATTTTTAGTTGAAGGATCACATCTGCCAAATTTCAAAAATTGCTAAACATATTCCCGGCTTATAAGCCTATGGTTTATCACCAACAACAATATTTTATTTCACACCAAATCAACCAATGCTCTCTTTCAAATTTAGTTGAAGGATAGCTTATAAATCAAACCAGCCCAAACAAACAGAGCTCTAGGTGAGAATCCACGGTAGATTGAGCCATCGAGGAACCATATGATCACGTTTTTAGTTATTCAAGTGAGAACCCATGATGTATTTTAGTAACAAAAAAAGTAAGCATTTTGTGCTAATCAAATTATACCATTTTCAAAGTTGCAAAAATAAAAAGATAGATCTACTACATCTAATAGATTAGACATGCATCAATTAGATCTAAAAGCTGTATCTAAAATTTTCTTATTCATTCTACTTTATTAGATTTAAAATTAAATGAATATATATTTTAATTATTATCTGTAGTCTAACAGATCTAGGTCCCGTTCGGCTTACCTTATAATCCATCTATATTAGATTTATTTTTTCAATTAGAATAATCTTTTATCTCACAAACAAATCAATTCAGTAACAAATGTTTTCAAAGCAAGTTTTACAAACCTAACGGGCCCTAATTTTAGCAAACCGAATAGGCCTAATTGCAATTTGGAAGTACTTGACATTCAGGTGTCGTTTTGCACCTGAATGTGTCGAACCTGCTTTCGTGTTGATGCTTTTCAAATTGCCCACGGACTCTGTACACAAGAATGTACGTAGTACTGTATAAGACTTTGGTATATTATATACTATACCATACTATACTTGAATCACAGAGTTGCTGAAAAATATACTGCTGCGAATCATTGCAGTTTTGCGAACATTTGTCGGTACCCAAGTACCGCACTTGGAGCCACGATTAGCTCACAAGTCTAATCGAATACTGACCTACATTAAGACCCCCACTTTATTCCATTCCTAACCACAAGTTTTCTCAGTTTGCTTGGATCTTTGGCAAACGAAATCGAACAAGCAAGGTCCACAAATCGCCGCGAAGTCTGTTCCTCTCATCAGTAATGCTCGTCGCCTTGTTTCCTCAGCAAGCACGACAAAAGATGCGGTGCCGGTGAGGGAAGATCAAGAACGTGCCGGGCTGGACTTGGGCCCGGCCCACGCGCACTCGTCCCAACCCTCCACGGCGTCCGTGGCGGCCCTCCGCCTGCGGGCGCGCGCCAGGGACGTGGCCACCTCCACCACGAGCCTCGCCGGCACGTGCGCGCACGCCTCCAGCCGCCGCGAGGCCCGTCCGCTTGGCCCACGCCTCGACCACCGCCGCGCGCACGGGGGGAGCCTCGGGCTCGGGCTCCCGCTCCCGGCCGGCGCGCGCCTCCTCCTCCGCGGCGCCACCGCGGACGAGGACGCCGACTCGGCCGTGGACACGCAGGAGCTCCCCGCGGACTCGTACCCGTCCTCCTCGTCCGGCGCCGGCGCTCCCGCGGCTGCCGCGAGGTCTAGGAGGCGCGTGCGGCGGTGCCGCGACGCGAGGAAGTTGGCGCCGTGCACCTTGGCGTCGCAGGCGGCGCAGAGGAAGGCCGCGTCCGCCGCGCAGTGCACGGACGCGGGCGCGCCGCAGAGCTCGCAGCGGCAGACGCCGTGGTGGTGACCCATGCCCGCGCTGCTACCTAGCTCCTCCGCTCCGCCTGTGTTTTGGGTCCTGCACCGACGCCTCGAGGGAGCTGCCGCGCTCGCCTCTCGTGCTGCGCTGCTGTCCGTTGTGAGCTTGGAGGTGGTCGAGCGACGGTGGAACGGAAGCGATTAACGAGAGCTCAGCGTGGCGCGTATTTAAGGAGGCCGGGAGCGGTGCCGGGGGTAACGTAGAGTACGTAGATCGCCTGCCTCTGGTTACGTTGCGGCAACGGAATGCTGCTGCCTGCTCTGCCTGGGAAAATATCCGACCACCAGGTTGACTGGCGGGCACGGTGCCGCGCCCGAGGCCAGGATTCCCGGGTTAGGCACGTTCCCCCGCGCGCGCGTACGTACGTGTCGACCGGCGCCAGGCCGAGCAGGTCAAGTCCGCACACCAGCTCAACTCGTGGCTCTCCGCCCACTAATAATGACGTGCCGGTGGTAACGGTTCGCATGAAACCCAGGCCACATCCCCCAAGCTGTGTGATCCGCGGGCGCCAGGCGCGATCTCGCGGCCCTGCTGCGTGTACGAATCTATGGATTCTTCTGAAAACTCGTGTTTGCTTTAGTCGCCACTTGATTTATGTTCTTCTCGAACCTTCTACTTGTTCACGTTGTTCAAATTCCTCTATCTTATTCCATTTTGAATGAAGAACGGAACAAAAAAATATTATCTACCGTCACATGGTGTCTGGGTTCATGTACCAATATACGAGTACCCCTTTTTTGCAAAATAGGTGCATGTTTCACACTTTGAGAAGTCAGACAATCATAAATTTAACCAAATATATACAGCAAAATATTGATATTTAGATACTAAATAAGTAATATGAGAATAAACACACTATATTATTTTGTTACTGAACATATTTAAAAATAAAAATATTGACACTATATTCTATAAATCCAGTTAATTTAAAATTAGTTGATTTACATTTATTTTCGGACACAGGAAATACGCTCATGATTGTAAAGAGAAGTTGGTTGGCCGCTGCATCCATCCATTGACAGATACTTGTACGTACGAGAGATATTTTAGCGACAAAGGCAAGACGCCGATTATTTCGGCGACTGTTACGCGAACCCAACCCGATAGGAGATCGCCCCGGCCGACGTGGCGGCACCTCGTCGGCGGATCAGATTTGGCCGGGGAGAACGACCGGAAATGCCCCCGGGACGTGCGGTTGGTCCAGAAGCGGGCGGGGGCAGAACGGGGAGCCCAGAAGCGACGGCGACGGCGACAGCGACCAAGCCGAACCCCACTCGCGTCGCCAGCCACGAGTTTTCTGAGGTCGCCGAGCCATGCCAGCGCGACGTGACGCTGGCTCGTGAGGACTCTGTACCGCGCGGGCCGCGCCACGTATTCGGCCGGTGCACCTGCGCTCCGGTCCGACGCATCTTGGCCGTGGCAAGAATCAGAAGCGTCCAGAGACATGTATATATCCTGTTCGTCTGAACTTATCAGTTGTAGAATAGTATTTTTCTCTTACAATAAATTAGTCTTCAACCGGCTTATCAATCGTAGAAAAAGTTTGGTGCACCTGGTTCTATCAGCAAATGCGTCCTTAATTAAACTTAGGAGTACGCACAAGAGAGGCTGCGGACGCCTCAGCTAGTAGCCTAGTACTACCTCGCAGGCACACATAGCATCCAGTTCAGCTTTAGCCTCTGCCATTACGGGTTGACGGAGCACAAGGCTTAACCCATCCAGATCGCCCTTCACGGGACCAGATCAACGGCAGCCACACAAACCATCTGAATGTATGGGATGATACCATCAGATTCAGAAGTACTATGGTCTATTAATTGATACACGTGTTGCATCTTAGCCCACTTGATGGAGTCATGTATAATGCCTTTCGATCAATCAGGGAGAGCCACAGGAACGGGGCCTGAAATGCTCTTCTGCAGAATGCAACCGCTGGTGTGCAGTTACCGGACGAAACTGACGATACATGCATCGCATCGATGGCCAGTGAGAAAGAATCGAGAAGGTGCCGGCATCGATGGCGAATGAGACGGCGTCGCTGGCGAGAATGCGTTCGGTGTGCTGTGTACCAAACCGCTCTTTGAGCTGAGGACTGAGGTACAAGTTAAAGAATGTTAAATACTTTCTCTGTTCTAATTATAAGTCATTCTAGATAAATGGTAAAAACTATCAGCTTGTTCGCCTCTATTAAAGCAACAGCCAACAAAGAGAACCTGTCTATAGTAGCTACCCCAGCCATGGTTTAAGGCTTTAATTTAAGCATCTGTCTTGTCTTGATTCACAGAAAAATGTGCAACTTGTGCCAACCACATGGCATGATCGCCAACCCCAGCTCCAAACCAATGTCGCCGTTCTCATGTTGTAAAAAAAAAATCGCAGTTCTCAGACCTGTGTGTCCACGAGGCACTGCATACTGCAAGCATCTTTGTGGCTGGGCAGATGCGAACTCTCGCTGTCCTGACGGAGTTCGCAGCTCTAATGATGGTAAACTTTGATGCTGTTAATATTGAATAGGGCCTAGACCATTTTTAGAATTGGTCCCACCAGTTTTAACCCAATTCAAGAGAAACTCTATGATATAAAATTATACCACATCGATTTTCCAACGAGATAAGACTATTCCTATTCCATATAAAATATGGGATATACGTCCAATTAAGATATCCAACTACACAATCGGTACTTTATCAATCTACCTATACCTACTATTTTTTCACTCCATGTCTCTTCCAACTCCGTGCCGTCCTACGTGTCTCTCGATTGGATCTGTGGACGTTTTAGATGCCATCGCCGATTTTAGGGCACCCCGTTGTACATCTCGACTCCAACGAGTCTTCCCAGAAGGCGTTTGTGGATTTATCGGCCGAAGAACGAGCGTTAATTGGCTCCGGCAACCTGTTGGTCAGCCTCGCCGTTCAGACCTCCGCTATGTGTGTTAATCGACCTCATCGTTTAGACCTCCCTCTGCTATGTGTTTTAGCCGTTTGCGGTCATCTAGCCCTTAGCGGTGTGTGATTCGAATCAGCAGATGCATATTGGATCGGAGTTTTATGAAAACAAAAATCATAGCTGATAGGCCTGTTAGATTGATCTCTAATCCTAACTGGACCCAACAGCCCAGTTGGGCCTTTGATTCACGCCGATCGGGCGCCCATTATCATGGCTGGAGGGCCCGCGGTCTGCGCTATAAAAAGAGGTGGGGCCGGCGGCTCTTATCACGAGGTTGACTTGGCGCTCCCCACCGACAAAACCCTAATCCGATCTAGAGGCGCGCGCAGACGGAAGCCACCGCGTCCGCTCCACCGCGCAGCCGGTCACCACCATGCATCACCGACGCGCCGCACCACCCATCGCAGCCTCTAGCGCAGAGATATCGACTCCATAGCGGACGCTAGTGATCTTCCTCCATGCCCGTGTCGCTTGACACGTATCTTCTACCTCTCCCTTTCTCTCGTTATACCGCCTAGTAGACGTTCTAGGTTTTGTGATACTATTCAACACCGTAGCCCCTCGGATCTAACCCCTAGCGATCCGCCTAACATTGGTACCAGCGCCATGGTTTCTAGGGTTTTTAGATCTAGAACGGGTAAACCGATTAGAAAAGGAAGTAGAAGGTTAGATCGGTGGTCTAACAAGAACAGAAGCGAACCCTTAACGTTAAGAAAGCTCAGAAGAAGAAGAGGGGGTTCGCTTTAAGAACGTAAGAGCGAACCCTAAACCCGGTGACATCACGGGAAGATAAACGTAGAAACACTAAAAGAAAAGAAACCCTAACCTAACTATCCCCAATCGGTTAATCGTTGCGGCAGGAAGGAAGGGTGGCTGCTGCCTGCTCTGCCTGGGAAAAAAATCCGACCACGTGCACCATTGACTGGCGGGCACGGTGCCGCGCCGAGGCCAAGAGAGAAAAGGCCCGGTGAAGCTAGGGTTTGAAGGGAGTCGTTCCCCGCTTTGTTCGCGACGTACGACGGCCGTCGGATCGACGGTGCGCCGGTGATCGACCCGAGCAGCAGTCAACATGCGGTCCGCACACCAGGCCCAACTTGCGTGGCTCTCCGCCCACTAATAGAGTGGGCAGCCGCTTTTGCCGGTGGTTGAACGGTTCGAGTCATTTTTTGTTTTTTCTTTTTCCAGGCCACATTCCCCGAAAATGGAAAATGGCTTAAAGAAAATAGAAAAGAAATTTTTCGTGGGTAAAATTCACTAATTTGAGATTATTTTTTCGCCCTGATGTTATTTTCATTATTAAATTAGAATCAACGGAGAATTTAATTTTGAAAATAGATATGGTTTAATTGATTATAATATTGTTATTATTCGCCAACATTGATTAATGGCAATATTATGATAAGTTTTCTGCATTAATTCTATTTCTACCCAACGGTGATGTAGAATTAGTGTAGATAATAATTGTATGTTTTTCAATCAACGTTGGAACTAAGACATGCAATTGTTATTATTATTATTTATGTTCTCACTCTATATAAATTATGTTTTTAGGCGATATAATTTGATGGGTTGTATCAAAGAGAAACCCACTCTCAAAGGTGATAACTATTATATAGACATGGCCTTCATCATGAGATGGATGGTAGTCACCTCATGTATGGCACCGGTGAGGGACAAAACAAGTTTTGCCTCTTGGGCAACAAGAGAAAGGGATTTTGCATCCCAAAAGATGTCCTATGACCTTGAGCATAGGAAGTAGGTCACTTAAACAAAAAATGTTTAGTCAGATAAAGAATACGATTGAACTCGCAATTGTGGGCTCAATCCCAGTGTGATACTAAATAGTACCTTGATAGAATAAAGAGTCATTCAATTTGGCTCTTCAAAGACATATGCTACCCAATATTATTTGTGTGAGGTTACTGAATGGAGGCATAAAAGAGCACATACTAAGGATGAGCAATCTGGCATCCAAGCTAAAACCAATGGATCTGCTCTCAAAGATGAGTTCCTTATCCATCACTGCCAAAGGAGTTTGACACTT